TACATGATATATTATATACATATACAGAGAGAAGAGGGGCTCTCTTTTTCTTTCTTTTGTTTTCTTTTTTTCTGTAAGTGTTTTACGGAGCTTGCAACCTCATAAGGCCATATGAGCGCGCCGGAAACATATTAAATATTTTCAGTTGGTAGAAAATTTTGAATTTTACGCGGGTGGCGGCCGAAGCCTACTCTTATCGATTTTGGACGACCAAGCGATCTTTAACCTACACAACTTGCACACGGGACCTCCGAGATTTTTCGCTCCTGTCCGGCAAGGCTAGGTTTAGATCTTTCCTGCCATAAGTTCAGGGGGGTGACTGAAAGACAACAGTGAGAAGGAATCAAGGAGTAGCAGTAGAAAGGCTTGAGAAAGAGTCAGGCGCCCAGAGGAGGGGGCAAAGGAGGTGACGGGTTGGGACCAACAAGTGGAGACGAAAGCAGACGACAGAGTTTTGTTAGAGAGCAGGAAAGGAAGTGGAAGGAGAAAATTTTAGAGAAAAAATTTTTCCGTCTGTTTCCAGATTCGAACCCGGGGCGGATTGCATGAGAGGCGAATACCTAAACCTCTAGGTCACGAGGGGAACTCCGTTAGCTCAATCATGCTGGACTACGTACTGAACGTTCTTGAACTGGGATCATTTTGTGGAATTTTCAAGGCTCTCCACCCATTTGGCTTGGTCCTATCTGAAACTGACGTTAAATTTAAAGGCACCGACCCATAAGTAACACAATATAAGGGTGTTAAATCCATACACTTATTATCCATTATAATAAAGTACACTGAGCTAGAAAAGCGACTTTGCTTTTAATTCAGACCTTTTGTTTGTAAATTTCTGGGACATTTGGGATGAAATCACAAATAATTATTTTAAAAAATTAATAGAGTCGATGCCCAAGGGGTTCGTGCACTACACAAAACCAGAGGCTCCTAAGCAAAATAACAATGAACACAAGCAATAATTTAATTTTCTGTCCTAGTTTTATGTAGTATTTATGATTGCTCTGTTTTCCATTTTCTTTGAAACTATCGTGACAAAATATCGTTGTAAATTATTGTTTATTGCAGAATCTCCCTGTCTCTGTCTCTCTCCCCTTTGTTTGTGTGTATATATGTTTGTATGTGTGTTTGTGAACGTGTGCATGTGGGGGAGGGGACGGGATGGTGGCTTGTGATAGGCAGCTATGACAGAAGAGCGGAAACCAGCTGCCAGGCGTAAATCTGTACATTGATCGTATCTGTCCTCCGAGAGGTAGGACATGGCGCGAAATTCATTACGAGGAATTCCCCC